AAAGAGGGGTCACAGGGTCTGTCTTTGTCTGAACGAGGTGGGGAATGGAAAGTCCCGCCATTCACTGAGCTGCATCCATAGTCATGGGCACACATGTCCTAGTATAACTGTAAACACTGATCTGGGGCGCAAGGACTGTGCTTTGTGGCCAATAAACCTGGCCGAGTACCTTTACTACAGAAACCAAGTCTCTGGTCTTTTGGGCAGTTCGACTGGAGCCTGCTGTATGGGCTATCTGGCCTGAGCCAGTAAAGCACGCAGGGAGAACACACATGCAGGCAACCACTGACTACACTGGTGACCCTGACCGCTGATCTGGTATGTAAGCGAGGTGTCCTCTGTAAGAATCGCAATCTAACCTGGCAAAAAGCTACAAGCTAGGGAACCCCTTTAATCCCTCCTTGCAAATCCTTACAGAGTTTAAAAAGGTATGGACACTGTGCTGGGTTGCCAGCAAAGGAGATGCATGTGAATTTTAAAAAGCTAGTGGGGAAGAAACATGGAATGGAATCTGTAAGGCTAGGGCAGAGACTGTAGCCTTGAAAAACAAGTGTAAGAAATGTAGAATATTGCAAACTATGGCCATGGCTGTTACATGGTTAAGACAACACGCCACAAAATTGGCAGGGCAAATAACAGAAACAACAATAGAGTTAAAAGAAGCAAGAGAAGCCACAGAGCCCTGGAATGCTCCCACTCTCCTAGCAGGGTGGCAAGCAGGCCAGGGACCGCAAGCACAGGAACAGAATAAACCATTGGAAACGGCTGTAAAGAATCTGCAAAAAAGAGAAGTGCCGTCTCTTGTTATAAATATTGGTAGTCAACAACGGGCTTCAGGTACCTATATAGTGCCTGAAGAATGGGGACAGAAATGGAAAAAGGTGGCCCTAGCAAAAATTAAAAAATGAAACAAGGACCACTACTGACGATACAAGCCAGGTTCTGGTAAAACTGAAACAGAGACCTAGACTGGTGCCTGTCAGACCAGGAAAAGTAAGTGCACGGGAGGGAGAAGTAGCAAATAATACTTTCCCTGGATTGGTAAATCAGATGAAGGAAAAAATGGAACAGTTCACAGAGCACATTAGGAGACGGGAATTGCTTGCGACTTAATCTCAGGGGAGTGAATAAAGAATTTCAAAGTGAAAAACAGAGATTGAGTGGGTTAACAGCTAGAATTGATGTGTTAACACACGGAGTTGCCCAAAAACAATTAACTGCAGCATACAAGGGCGCTCCTGAAACCCATCTGGCATGCAGACAAAAGAAACAGACACTTGGGGAACAAATTCAGGTTTTCAAGAGTAAGTAATGACCCCTACTCTTCTCTTAGAGCCCGGATAAAAACAAGGGGTGTGGGTTGCCAACTGCTTTAACCCACAGAGCCCTACTCTTTGCTCAAAGCTAATAATATAACTTTATTTCTCAAATATTAGTACATACTGGCTACGTTTTCCTTTATATCCTTTCTGTTTGCTAAACTCGCTGCTGCTGCTGCCTGTACTTTAAGATAACTTGATAGAATGAATCTCTCTTGGCCAGGGGTTCTCAAACTGGGGGTCAGGACCCCTCAGGAGGTCACAAGGCTATTATATGGGGGGTCGCAAGCTATCAGCCTCCACCCCAAACTCTGCTTTGCCTCCAACATTGATAATGGTGTTAAATATATTTTAAAGTGTTTTTAATTTATAAAGGCGGGGGGTCACACTCAGAGGCTTGCTATGTGAAAGGGGTCACCAGTACAAAAGTTTGAGAACCATTGCTCTTGGCTCAGGTAGCCCTCCCTTCCTAGGCTGCTCTTCCCTCGCTTTTCCCCTGCCTCTCCTCACTTCTGCTCTCCCTCTTTGTTTTAAAAGTTATAGTTTCTACAGAACCTCCAAAAAGATAAAGCAACTGAAAACTAAACAAAAACAGCAAACAAGCAAAGAGAAAACAAGGTCAAAACTTTAAATAAATCCAGTACATTAATTATTTTTACCCTTCAGGAATGCAACATCTGGAAATACTCCCAACTTTCTTAAATATATGGTTGCCTAGCAACAGAAATGCAGACTCTGCTTCTAATCCTAACCACTGTCTAATATTTGAAACATGGGCTTTCCTTATTTCCATATTGCAGAGTTTTTAAATAAAGTAATGAAAAGTAATGGAAAATACCTGACGTTACTAAATTAATACAACAAAGGGGGAAAATAACAATATGAATTTTTATTAAAAGATTAAATAAAAAGGTAATAACTTGCTTATTTAAATATTTAACCCTTCTGTTTACTTGGTTTTTTAAAATGCATTGCGTTAATAACTGAAGTCTTAATGCCTTATCTTGTATAGTTATAAATAGAATTCTGGTGCCATTTGTTTAATTGTAAGTTTGTCCTGTATGTCATGTATGTTGTCCTGTGATGTACGTTGTGTGTGTCACATAACTACTTTTTTTGTTTGTTTTTATTTTGTTGCAACAAAAGTCAATGTTATACATTTCTTTAACAGAAGTAGTGCCACGCTATTTTAATATTATGGTTGGGATATAAACATAATATTATTAACACCAATTATTATTTTTTTGCAAAGTTCAAAAAGGTCTCAGTTATAAATATATGGACATAAATTTCTGCCTTAACAAATAATGCAATTGCACCCAAAAACAATCTCTTTTATGAATCACAGGGTTTGGGGTTTTTTTTTAATTTAAATAAAAAATGCAAGGGGAAACCTCCACATTAAGATAAAGGTAATATTAACAAAATGTCAATTTCTTGTTTGGGTTTCTTGTTTGCACTTTTAAATATATTTTTAAACAAACATTTTTATAACTAACAGTTTATGCGTAAAGCTAACCAAACAATTTCAACAGGTTTCCACCTTTGTCTCCCAAACACAAGTGTCATGAAAGTTTAATAGCCTCCAGGTATTTCCATAGATTTGTATTTAAAATTCATTTTGGTTTAATTTTTATTCTTTTTTATGTTATGTTAAAGGAAAGTAGTGTTTATTAAAGTTTGTGCTTCTAAACAGTTAGCAAAAGTGGAGTTGGTAGCACAAGCAAATTAACTCTAAAAAGCTTGGGTAAAAATTCTGTTACTAACTCTTTTGCTAAAACAGAGTGCTCAGTGGGATGGACCTTTGGAAACTTGCTCACCCTAATCCCCGAGACCTTGGTGAATGTGCCCTTTGATAATGTGGTTACCAGCTTCTTATCACTGTTTGCAGAGCAGCCTCACCCTATGCCAGCTGATAACAGTACGTGCCACAGGCTTTTTCCCCCTACACTTTCTATTTCGTTTCATAATTGCTCTTTGCCTCTTAGCCAAGTCTAAAAATAAAGGAGTCAATAGATTTAAGATAAAAGAGTAAAAGGACTAAATTAATACAGCCTGGCCAAACTGCAGAACATGGGTTCACGTGGGAGGTTCTCATAAGTCTAAGAGGAGCTGCAAACACTAAGGGCTTGTCTACACTACCGCGGTAGTTCGACGGCTGGCAATCGAACTTCCGGGTTCGATTTATCGCGTCTGGTCTGGACGCGATAATTCGAACCAGGAAGTGCTCGCCGTCGACTGCGGTACTCCACCTCAGCGAGAGGAGTACCGCGGAGTCGACGGGGGAGCCTGCCTGCCGCGTGTGGACCGCGTCTGAACCGCGGTAAATTCGAACTAAGGTATGTCGACTTCAGCTACGTTATTCACGTAGCTGAAGTTGCGTACCTTAGATCGAATTGGGGTGTTAGTGTAGACCAGGCCTAAGATACTAAGAACAAGGGGTGTAATTAGAAGTGGGATTAAAATTAAAAGGAAAATTTAAGATGGATATTAGGAATAATGGCCTCATTGGCTATGGAACAAACTCCCCAAGAAAGAAGAAAGAGATGAACATCTCATCATTTGGAATCTCTAAACTGAGAGTGCAGAATGTATTGCAGGACACAATGTAGTTTTGGCTCCATTGCAATCAGACAGTGGAGCTGGACTGCTTCTTTTCCTCCAGATTCTGTTTACCAGTCTGTTCTGCAGTGCAGCCTCTAGGACAGCGTTTCCCAGACTGTGTGGCTGCCTCTCCATGAGAGCAAGGATGCTGCAACAAGATGTAGGAAAGGTACCCACCCACTCCTACCATCAATGTTTTGCTCCACTGCCAAAGCCTGTGCCCATAACCTCTAAGGCAGAGCTGCTGTAGCATACTAGCTGATCCCTATTGCAGCTGGGGCGTTGCCAGACATCTAGCAGGGTGGCAGCAAGAAGAAGGTCTGGAGAAATGGATGGCTCTTCATAAAGTATTAAATTCAGGGTCACTGGTGGAGAAGCCCCTGCAGGCGTAAGCCAATGGGGCAGCTGCCAGTATGGAGTTAGGGAGTCTGAGGGTAGGGAAGGAACCCCGGTACTCCCCCTGGAGCCTCCAGCAGGGGATGGGATGTTGAGTGCTAGACCCTGCTTTTTGAGGGGGGTTCCCAGGAGCACAGGGAACCCCAGCCCAGTGGGACAGGGCCCTGCCTATGAGAAGCAAAGCTGGGCGGGGAGCAGGAGTGGTCAGCGCCACAGCAGTGCCTTGTCATCCCTGCTGCCCCCAAGGCAAGGGGGCGCTGTGGAGCCAGGGGAGGCACAGGGTAGCGGGCAGTTTGCAGAGCAGCCCCCGGGGAACCAGAGGGAGCAGGAGTCTGCGGGGGGAGTCGAGGATGCAGCCAGGCGGCGCTGGAGGCAGGACAGCAATAGGGGTGCAGTTTCCGCAGATGTCCAGAGGGGGCGCTGCCGTGCAATAGGCTCCGCAAGGCCTTGTGCGTGACGGGCGGTGGCTGTGCAGCGCATGCGCTCTTCCCCCTTTCTCCTCCGCGGCTGATGCAATTCTCCGGTAGGGTGCGGGCGGTACCTCGAGCAGGCGGCGGCTCGGGTGGGCGGGGGTTTGTAGTCCAGCAGGGAACCAATCATAGGCTGGGGGCGGTGACGCAGTTGCCAGGATGTTGCGGAACGGCCCCGCCCACTCTTCCCTGAGCCCTGTCAGGTCAATGGGAGTTGGCCGCGGGCGCGCGCCTCGCAGGCTAGTGTGGGTCTCGCGCCGGGTGGGCGGTTTAACTGTCGCTCTCGCGGCTCCGACGCCATTTTGTTCTCGCTACTTCAGGCAGGGCGGCCGGCCGGGCTGGGCTCTATGGTGCCGTCGCTGGCCTGAGGGGACTGCTGGCCCGCTGCACTATGGAGCCCTGCCCGAGAGGAGACCGCAACGCCGCTAGGAGATCCCGAGCTTCCGCAGGCAGCAGCTGGATTCCGGCGCCGGAGAAGCGGCCGGGCCGCAGGGAGCGCTGAGGAGCCCCGCTATGGAGCCGAGGAAGCGGGAGCAGGCGAGCCCCGGGCTCGGCCCGGCCAGCTCCTGGTTAGGACTCACCTGGCTGAAGCTCGGCCCCTGTCCCCCGGCTCCTGCCGTCGCGGCCCAGCCCCAGCTTAGCCCCCCCTTCTCCTGGCTGCGGCTCTTCTCGCAGCTGCTTTCCCCACTGCCCGGTCTCCTCCACCGGCTGCTGCCCGGCCAGGGGCTGAGCAGCGCCCTGTGCCCCGCGGCGGGGGAGCCTCCCGCGGGGGGATCTCAGGCCGCGCCTCTTCTGCTGCTGTCCGAGGCCGCCGCCTCACTGAGTTGGGCCGACGGGGAGCTGCACTGGCCGGACGACGCCCCGGAGATGCGCCGGAAGAGTAGCCTGGAGTCTGCCCAGCCGCTGTGGGGAGCTGGGCTGGTGCGGACCGGCCTGGCCCCGCTCAGTGTCCGGCAAGTGGACCTGGTCTCCTACATGCTGGGCCCCGGCGGCAGTCTGGGGTCCGGCTACGGCCAAGCCTGTTGCACCGACAAGAGCCACCTGCCCCAGCCCTTGAGCGCCGAGCTCCCCGCGGACGGCTGGCGGGGACCCCCATCCCGGGAGGGGCTCCCGGAAATCCAGCACGTGCGCACCAAGCGCCTGGAGTTCCTCCAGCAGCAACAGCTGGCGACTAATTGCTTGGCCGTGCCTGACCCGGACCACGGCTACCACAGCCTGGAGGAGGAACAGCAGCACAGGAGTAACCGCCAAGGGGATCTAAAGCAGAAGTGTGATGCCTGGGAGCTGAGAGGCCGTGAGGAACTGCCTGAGCACAGCATAGTGGGGCAAGCTGGAGAGAGTCCCCTAGAACAGGAAGTATGGAGTCCTGAGAAGGAGGCAGCTGAGGAAGAGACCCTCTCGGAAGAGGATGAAGATGAGGATTCTGATATAGAGCAAGACCTGCCAGTGTCATCCAGGCCTGCCTGCGCTAACAAACTGATAGACTACATTATCAGGGGCAGTTCCAGTGGAGAGGAAAGTTCAGAGGGTGAGGAAGACTGGGATGGGGATGACGATGATGGGTTTGATAGCGAGGGGTCCCTCTCAGATTCAGACTCTACTAGCCAGGATAGTGAGAGCCAGCACCTCTGGAACTCCTTCTGCAGTTTGGATCCTTACAACCCTCAGAACTTTACTGCTGCCATTCGAACTGCTGTTAATTCAGAGAAGGATTTGTCTGGTGAGTCATATGTAGAGGAGGATTCTTCATGGGCCGAAAGCCTTCCTGGCTCTCCTGCCCTCAGTTCTGAAGAGGATGATGAATGGGAGTGTAATAGTGCAGATGAGGAAGATAATTTGGAACTTTGGAACTCATTCTGTAACTCAGATGATCCCTATAACCCTTTCAATTTCAAGGCACCATTTCAAACTGCAAAAAAGAAAGGGAAGCATGACTTAGAAGGAGCATCAGGGCTGTGTTTGGTCAGCTCTCAGTGCAATCTCTTATTCACCTGTCAGGTGCAGCTGCTGGAGAACCATAACTCTGGGGTCACAGATACTGTGCAGCATGGCATTCTTTTTGGAGAGAAACGTACAAATACCAAGAGAAAAAAGGTATATTTCATGTTAGTTCATGTACTTATGTGCTGGTATTGTGGTACAGTTGAACCTTAGAGTTATGAACACCTCTGGAGTGGAGGTTATTCATAACTCTGAAATGTTCATACCTCTGAACAAAACGTTATTCTTTCAAAAGTTTACAACTGAGCATTGACTTAATACAGCTTTGAAACTTTACTATGCAGAAGAAAAACGCTGCTTTTAAACATCTTAATTTAAATGAAACAAGCAGAGTTTCCTTACCTTGTTAAATCTTTTTTAAACTTTCCCTTTATTTTGTTACTATCTTCTCTTTAACACAGTACTGTACTGTATATGTTTTTTTGGTCTCTGCTGCTGCCTGATTGTGTATTTCCGGTTCCAAATGAGGCATGTGATCATAACTTAGGTTCTGCTTTAGTGCCTAGGCAGTCACTCAGGATCAGGGGTCCATTGCTTAGGACAATAGGTGAAAACATAAGGAGGTATTCTGGCCCTTTGAAGTCAGTGGTGGCAGGACTTTTACCCATAGCAAGAGATGGTCCCTCCCCCAACAAGCTTAGAAGCTAATTGTTCAATTAATATTTGAGTGTACATCAAGTTTTTGATAAAATGGCAAACAGCGATGTGTTGTTATGATGTGAGTTAACAAACGTTTGTTTCCGAAATCCTCTGAGTTCTGGAATTTTCATTTTAAAGCAGGGTTTCCTTGCACTTTCTGGGTTCTGACACTGTCTACTGTTTTTGTTCTGACAGCATCTGGAAGCATTAAGGATTTAGTAAAAATTCCTTGTTTTCTTTTAATCTTTCCTTACCAAAAAAATTAATGTGACATACAAATGTTTGTATTTGTGTCAGGCCCATATTTCCATTTTATAAATTACCCAGAAATTATCTCTTCAGATTGTAGCCAAGTAACTTTATTAAACTAGTTTGTGTAATAACACAGTCATTTTAATCATACTTCTAGTGCAGTGGGAGGAAACTCTTTATTATTATAGTATCTTAACACTTGGTAACAGAAGTCAAGAACTTAGTTCTTATAGGAACTTTCAAAACCGTCTGAGTCTTTTAAAAATGCATCATAACACTTCTATTGAGTTTAAATGATGACAGAAACAATTCTTACTAGTCAGATTGAAGTATTCTCTATAGTAATCCAAGGAATTAGTTAAAAATATTTTAACACTATAGGTCTAAATACAAATAGACAAGTATGGAGATCTGTGTATGGGTTCACAGGTTTTGCTACCAAGTCTCTGAGGAGTTGGCTTGCTGGATTGATGTTGATCTTGTGTACTAGGATTTAGCTTAAATGGCTGTCTTAAAAAGTTAAGCATTTCTTTTAGGCTACTATAAATTGAGTCCCTTTACAAGCATATTGTAAGACGGTGTCAAATTTTGCAAACCCCATGTAAGGGTTTGTAAGATTGAGTTCCATGATGCTGTAACAGCTTATCAAAATAGATGGAACAAGTAAAACCTGGTTTTGTAGTGGTCATAGTATATGGCCGTTTTGTGATTACTTTGAGAGCCTGGCTTGGGGACAGTCTGATATTCAAGGCTTGTGCCCTTCAGCTTCATGAATAGCCCAATTTCCCAATTCTGATAACATTGTGATTTGAAGTAATTTGCCAGCTTTTCCTTATAGGAGAAAGGAGAGCATTTCCCTTTTGAGCACCTCCCTGAGGTTTGACTAGCAAGAACTACATCTCCGAGCTTCTCTCCCTCACCATCTTATGATGATTGTGCTTTTAACCCCTGCTAGGTCAGGGAGTGGCATTTTGTACTTCCTGACTCACCTAGCATCAAGTGCTACTGCTTGACTGATTTATCTTAGTTTGTTTTTTTAACATCTCTACTTCAAAATCTTTATTTTCGAAATTATATTTCTATTCTTGGGTTTCTTTCCCCTGACAATAGCAGAATTTTTGCAACAGCAAACTTGCTGGGATATGGGAGCTTTAAGGTTGATAGTTTTCTTTGGATGCTGTTGACCCCACCCCTTCCTGCTACTGGGATGGACTATATAAACTATGGCTGTTTGAGCCTAAAACTATATGTATATCTGTTTGCCTTTACCATGATTATGGGAATTTACCATTTCAGCTGTTTAGCAGAAAGTAGCTCGACCTGTGTCCCCTTCTAGCATACTTTTGAAGATGAAGTGAAGAATCAGAGGGCCTATAGCACCTAACTGTGCTCTCTGATCAGATTGAGTCCTATTCCTTTAGAAGAGTAGAGCCATCTAGATCAGCCTTCACATTTTCTGAACCATAGCTCAGAGGTGAGTTTGAAGGAGCCCCTAATAATGGTATGTCAACACTCGAACAAAAGACCCAGGGCTGTGGCTGACTCTGGCTTGGCGGGGGTCATCTCGGGTCCCAAAGCTCTGGCTCTTGTCTGAGCCTGAACACTTACATAGCAATTTGACAGTCCCAGAGCATGAGTCTGAGTCAGCTGACCTGGGGCAGGCACAGGTGAATTGCTGTGTAGATGGACTTCCCTACAGTCACTTGGGGTACATGTGTATATGTCAATAGTCCAGCTCTCTTAGTATTTCACTGTAAAGTCCCGCTTCATCATTTGAAACTCTTCAAATTAGGTATAACTGCGTTTATAAAAAATTAGCTGAGTTGCAGCAACAAATTAACATTAAACTTAAAATGCAAATTTAACACTGAATAGCTTTTAATTCTGTTTTGTGGAAACAGTGAAGACATGAGACTGAAAAAAGATTCTAGAAAGTGACTCGTTTTAGAAGCAACCATTTGGTGCGAAGTGCACTTCATGTAATGTTGAAAGTATACATAACACTCTATAATGGACAGTGTGTTAGACAAAGATCAGAATCCCTCACTTGAAGGGTTTAGTTTTAAAAAGTATGCATGTATACTACATAGCACATATACACACGCACACACACACAGTGGCTAGTGGAAATTGCAGCTGGAATGTTTTCATATAGTAGCAACTTTTAATTTGATGTCAGTGTAATTATGTGCAAACTAACTCCAAGTAGATATTTACTTTCTGTTCTTGGATTATACTTTATTTTTATGGCTTTGTGTAGGCATTCTAAGGAGCCACTTGGTGCACTTATATAAAGCTTCATATACTTATTCTTTTATCTTCAAGATCTTGCTGCATGTCAGATGAAGGCTTTTAAAAACATTTTATTGGAGTGCATGAAACTTGCATTTTTAGGACCACCTTACCTATTTCACTTGTTTGCACTAGTAATTTAGATACAGTAATTTTCAAACCCTTTGTGTAATCCTTCCTAGTAACACAGTGAATGAACAATGATCTGTATGCAATATCTAGTTTGATATTACAAAAGTTGTTAATTGTACCCAAGAGGGTGTCGTAGACTGATGTAAAGGGGATGAAATTAGTAGGCCACAAAGGGACAGGCTGATGTAACTATCAGTTTATTTGAAAGCAGATATTTAATTAGATGTGGCTGATCTGTTACCCAAAGATTGCTTAAAAGTGACAGCGGGTTTCTTAGTAAAGACTATATTGCGCAAATCACCTTGAATAATTAAACAGGAAAACGAGCACAATGTTGTATGTTAAAGTTTTAAAAACTTGAAGACCCTTTATAGGGGAACAGGGTATCTGTTATTAACACACTACTTTGAATTAACTGAGGACTTGACTTCCAATGGGGAATTAAAGCTAAAACTGAGTTTCTGGACTAGTTTTAAGACTGATGACGCTTTTGGATCAGTCCTTGTATGATCCCTTTGATAAATAGCTCAGTAGGTCACTACATAGAAGCTTTATCTTACTCTCTGCCAGTGCTCAAAGTGTACACAGGTGTGGGGTGAGGGCGTAAGTGGTAACTGAAACCTCCTGGCAGTTCTGGATAGAGTAGTCTTGAGGAAGTGTAAAACTAAGGCCTTGTGCACACTGGGGATTTCAACTTTTGGCACCACCAGTGTAAGGCTAAGCTGCAGCCTGCACCAGGGTGCTTTACTCCTGTTTCAAGCAGGGATAAGCTTCACTAGTGCATATAGCCTCTTTGCCTGTTTGAATTGGGATAACTCCCTAGTGTAGCTATGCTGGTGGCTGCCACTGGTGGCTGTTCCTGGTATAAAGTACGTAACTTTAAGAGGTACAAAAATTATTCTAGGCAATTTCTGCATTTACATTACTTTAACCTGCAATTGGCAAAAGGCTGGATGCTTTTGAGATTGCAAATGAAGTGCTTCTTGGCTGAGTGGCTAGCTTTTAAAAAAAAATTAAGCAAGTTTCTACAGCTTAAGTTAAACTTCTATAAAATGTTAAGGAAATTCTAACAGACTCACATTGCCCCACTCTTGTGGTTATATTTGAATACAGAATCCATTTGCACTGGAAATGCCTTTGTCTAGATGTTGGCACCAAAGTTTGTGCCTTTTTGTTAAGTTATACAAGCTCTTTTCCTCCTGAAGGTTTCCATAGTAGCTATGTCAGTCAAACATTTTTGAGGGACAGAAGGGGAGGAGAGATATGCAAAGAACAGCTTCTCAGTGAGCATGTTTTGCAGAATATATGGGCTCGTCTACACTTAGAGTGCTGCAGTGACACAGCTGCGGCGCCTAGAGCTTCTCCCATTGGTATAGGTACTGCACCTGCCTGAGAGGCGGTAACTATGTCCATGGGAGAAGCCCTTCCATCGATGTAGCATTGTCTACATCGGGAGTTAGGTCGGTGTAACTGTTTCACTTGGGGATGTGGATTTGCAACGCCCGAGTGATGTAGTTATACTGACATAAGTTTGTAGTGTAGACCAGGGCTAATTGTCCAAAGTGGAGTGTTTCCAAGAAACTGGAATTAATACACTTGTTCTGAACATTGCTATGGGATCTTTAATGACAGGTAGTCAGGGCTTCAGTTTTAAATTGCATCTGAAAGACTGAATGTAGCAAAACAAGGAGGTACATAATTAGATACTGTATGTTGAGTTTAAAGTACAGTATGGCATTAATTTTAGCCTATTAATAGCTAAGATCAGAAGGATAATAGTTAAATCTTTAAAATAGCATTAGGCTAGGTGAGCTAATATTGTGATTCCAAATATTTTGTTTGAATTTTAAATACAATGAAAATGTTGTATAACCATTATGGAAGGAGATATTGCCTCTGTTTTAGTAGCATGCCTGCCAAAGGTTTGGTCATAGCTTTAAAGATATACTTCTTTGCTGCATCATGAAGCTTAGGGTTGTGACATTTGAAAATACCATTACTGTAATTTCAAAACTCTGTACATGGTATTTAAATACACCTGCTGAATTCACTGTAAGTCCTAAATAACTGATCTGTGTTGCCCTAGCCATGTAGCTATAAGAGTGCCACTTCATTAAATTTAAAAACTGTACGACATCCTCTTCTCCATATTGACGTGGGGCTTCTTGTTTACACTGTAGTACCCATAGAGTCTGTTCAGAACAGTACACAACTTAAGTAAGCTGCAGGAACTAAGTTCTCCTGTTTTTACCTTTGTAAAGATAAACTAAAATACACCCATTTAAAAACAGGCATGTTACAACCTTGTGTTGTCATAGTCAAATGTTAGTGCAAAGACCACGCTGCACAAGTTAGTCAACATTGAATTATGTTTTCATTAGGTTTTTTGGAACAGTTCTTAATTTAAGAGCCCTCATGGCAAAATATGGTAACAGTAACTGCAAATACTAATTGAGAATGAGAACCACTTTATTAAAGCACTGGACAATCATTTACACAAAACGATCTCAACCAGGGGTCTGGAGCCCCCTGGGGGGCCACGAGGGCTCCACCAAGTAGGGCCAGAATTAGACTTGTTGGGGCCAAGGGTAGAAAGCCGAAGCCCCACCGCAAGGAGCTGAAGCCCAAACCTGAGCAACTTAGGTTCACGGGGCCCTGTGTGGCATGGGGTCCTGGGCAGTTGCCCTGCTTGCTACCCCCTAATGCTGGTCCTGGTTTTTATATGCAGAAAAACAGTTGTGGCACACATGGGCCATGGAGTTTTTATAGCATGTTGGGGGGAGGGCCTCAGAAAAAGGGAGCACTCCTGCTTTAATAAATATCTTCTCTCTTATAGGTAACATTCCTTGAAGAAGTTACTGAGTATTATGTAAGCAGTGAAGAAGATCGGAAAGGACCCTGGGAAGAACTTGCACGGGATGGGTGCAGGTTCCAGAAACGAATTCAAGAAACAGAAGATGCAATTGGATACTGCTTAACCGTAGAGCATAGACAGAGGATATTTAATAGACTCCAGGAAACATACTATAAAATGCTTGATGTTTTCTAGCCCCCTAAATTTGGTAGCCCTGTTACCCTACTGTTCCTATAACGGGGAGCTAAGCATAACTTTAATACTGCTTCCAAATTTAATGTTCAGCCAATAAAATATACCTAATTATGTCCAGATTTGATATGGAAACAAAAAATACCTTGGTCACTTGAAGAATAAGAGTGGTGTAATTGTATTGCTCTTAAAGCAGTTTGTATCTCAACTGTTTAGGTAAAATCCAGTCCATAAATGCCTTTTGTACACACTGTCCGTCGCTACTACCGATTGGATGGTTTAGTGAGGTCCTCGGATCGGCCCTGCCAGGATCGGTCATGGCCCTGGTGCAGTGCCGAGAAGATGGTCGAACTTGACTATCTAGGGCAAGTAAAAGTTCTAACAAGGTTTCCATAGGTGAACTTAATGAAGGATCATTAACGGGGTGCATGGGGAGAGACGGGACCGGGTTGGGCAACTGACCCTGGACCAGGGGGATGGAACTCAATGCAGGTGTGTGGCCGGGATGGCGCACGGGGGGGAGTCGGTGGCCCCAGTCATGTCTGCCTCCCAGGCATGCTGGGAACAGTAAAACTCCAGATCCCTGGGAGAGGGCCACAGCAGCAGTTTCTCAGCAGGCCTTCTGGGACGATGTCCCCTGAGGTCACATGTTGCTGGCTGGTGGGTGCCGGGCACCACTCCGGGTGCCGTCCGTCTCTGCCTGCCTACCCTGTAGGTTGGAAGCGGCGGGGGGGGGGCACCCCAGAGGGATTGGAACCGTTTCCCTCACCCAGGAGCTAGGTACCTAGCGCTCTCTGAGCTTTGCAGCCCAGGGGAGGCGGTGGTTCAAAGACTTGTGCAGCCCAAAGACTTGGGCGGCTTTTGGTGGGCCGTGGCCGCCAGTGGGGGGAGGGTGGAAGGTGGACTGCCGAGGAGGGAAGGATGTCTGAGGATGCCCATTCCACCCACCCCTATCCCCCCAGGTCCATGAGAAGCCCAGGATGGAGAGGGGCTACCCTGCCTCCCTCTCTACAATGTCTCTATGTGCCTCTGTCTGCCATATGTAGGAGAAGGGTGGCAATTAAATTGGAATTTTGCACTTTTGAAAAAACAAGAGTCTGAAATATTTATAGGGTTCAAAACCCAATGATTGCAGTTCTGATTTAAAGTTTGAATAGGTAGTTGCAGCAGTTCAGTTGTCTGTCTTTTTCCCAACTTCTGTAAAACAGATTTGTTGTTTTGCCTGCTAATTGTATTAGTTAACAGTGCTCTGTCTCCTTCTCAAGAATTCAGTTTTGCTTATCAGGTTTTTTTCTTTGTTACATAACACCTTTGATTATGTATTTAAATATTTTGATCTAAAGATGGATTTCAGGAGAGCTGAAAAAACTACCAGTGCTGCTGCTCTTGTGTTTTCTAAATATAAAATTCTTGCCTGGTACTTATCAAAGCTAGTTGTGCAGTAGGTCCAGGTTCTTTCAGAACTCTGGAAAGCTCTGTTACCCTGATAAGTATATGCAACATGTAGTACATGTACTGATGTTGAGGATGACAGTCTGAGCCTAGACTGTTATCATGGGCAGTCAACTGCTGGTTATGCTTTAGTTTTCACTTTAAAAGCTTATGGCATTTGACCTGCAAAGGACAGTGAAAAGTGGTATTCTACATCAGGTTCTTGGCCTTTTGAACCAACTCAACAAGCTCTAAAGCTACACCCAAGTACATACTTTCTTTACAGAAAATCAGTATTAATACCACCCTGCCTCAGCACTTTCACTTAACTGATAGTATAACACCATATACATGGAAGCTGACAGTTAAGATGTCTCCTGTTGAAGAAAAATGCATTCTTTAGTTGCATTCTAAGTTTACTATTTCAACCGGAAGCTATTTATTTTTTTAAACTAGTAGTAATCTTCCTTTATTTGAATGAAGTTGAATATTGCTCAACTTTTGGCATTTCAGCTTCTAGCAATTCAAGAAATGCTTTCAGGTCAAATTTAAACCCAAAATTGGGTTATGTAAAAACTTACAAAACATAAAGCTAGTAGAACTGCTTCCATGATTTAAAAAAAAAAAAAAAAAAATTCCAATGGCAACAACTCTTAAAACAACAGTTTCCCTTCAGTGCTTGCAAGCAAACCAGTGTGATAGTGAGAGGAAGGATGGTCTTGTGGTTAAAGCACACGAGATCCAGTTCTTTTCCCAGATCTGCCAGTCTCCCTCTAGCTTCAGACAAGTCACTTTTTGCCTTGATTTCTCTGTAAAATTAAGAATGCTCCCTTACCTCACAAGGGTTGTGTGAGGTTTTAATTCGTTAGTGTTGTGAGATCATGTAAAAGCATTATAGGAATACAAATATTGACTCGGTGAAAGAACTAGAAAGGAGCTAAAAAGTGAAGCTGACTAGTGGGTTTTCATTGTCCCTAATTAAGTAAAATTAGACTAAAATTCTAAGTTTTTAATATGTAAGGAATCTGCTTAATTTTTAACCTGACAGCATCTCAGTCTTTTTCCATACATCATCATCCTAGCAATAAACATAGTTTTCATTGAGGCACATATCTACATAAGCACTTGAAACTAAATTGCTGTCCCCTTCAAAGTATCAGGTGCAAAAAGGAAACGGGGGATTCTGGCACTAAACTTCAGCCGTAGAAATCCAATATAAAATCCCTAAACAAAAGCAAACCAATTTTAGTCGTCTTTTTGCTTTCCTTTCCCTACAACATATCTTAAAATGGTAATGAAGGATGTGGAAGGCTGTTTTTTGTATGTATAAGTGTTTCACTTAAGAACACCTGTCAATTTTAAACTTTAAATCAAAACTGTAATTATCAGATTTTATTTTTATATAATTTTAGAGAGGTGAAGTTAAAAGCCCGACAACCTTCTAAATTGGCTTTATACAGATTTTAATTGATTTGCTTGTATCCAATTTGTTGGGTTTTTGTTATATTTCTGTATATAATAAAATTATTCAGAACTAATCTGTAAATTGAAATAAAGATATTTGCAAGATAGTGCCAAGTTGTTTGTCTTTGAAGGATATTACATGAGGTATGTGGGGTGGAACTGCAAACCAGAGTCTGCTAAATGTCTATATGTAACTTGTAGCCTTGTTTCAGACAGTAGCTGTGGTCCAGTAAAAACTATAAATGTGTATGGAATTTTGATGTGCAGCTGTTGTAAAGGAGAAATACAGTGCTTTGTTTTCCTTTAACAAGCTTGTTTTAATTGATATGTGAGCAGTTTTATGCTGTTATTTCTTAAACTAAGCTGCTATGGGCTTGATCAGAGGTTGGAGAGATCTTAGGGAAAACAAAGTGATGTCAAAGTGGCATTGGTGATTCAGAAGTTGGCACTCTTCACTCTGACTCAATAACTGTGTGTGGTGATAAGGGATCCTCTGTAGCTGAAATGTCTATCTTTTGGCCAAAATATAAAGTTTAGGGTCCAGGCTACATGGAGTCAAGATCTTGTGTCCCTTTTTGGAACAGTAGGGATTTAATCTCCATCAGATTTCCATTTGGATAATACATTTTGTCTGCTGAAATTCCCCTTGTAGTTGACACTGGATGTAGTATACTTGAGAGCTATAGTCAGTATAGATACTTACTTCCCTTGTCAAGATATGTAGTGTTATGCTGTTAAACAGCTGTTGTGTTTTTAATAGTGAAGTGAATATATATAGATTAAAGTATCTTGGGATCTTCCAAAAAAAAAAAAAAAAAAAAAATTTGGCTTTCCCCCCTCCCATGGAATTTATTACTTGAGACTTGTTTTGTTTCATGAGCTAAACATCTAATGCTGCTTTAAATTAGAATCACTTATGTTTTCCATGTGTTGCTTTCTGGCATCACTGCCTTAAGTTATTCATTTTCTTACTTCTGTAGGTGTTTCACCAGCTGTAATAGACCATGAATGTGTGGTGATTGGTACAGAACAGCAAGCGCACAGATCCAGAGGGTGGCTAGGTGCAATGGAGACCTAAACCATGGTACTACCAGCCCATGTCACTGATTTATTTTCCCCTTCCAAAAGACGGTGTATGCATTTTATGCAAACGTGCTCATGATTCCAAATTTCTTTATAGATCAAGGGAAAATATTGTTACACATAAAATGGGAGCCAGTTGACAATGTTATGAAAATGTGGTTTTTTTTGTGAGGGAGGGGGCATCATGCACCACAATGAAATGCTATATTCAAATGTACAATATGTTTTTTAGGTAAGTGTTCAGGAAGGTGGCAGTGCAAAAATCGCAATTGTACAATTGCAGTTTTCTTAAAAGGGCAACAGAGGTCACTGTTGGTAGCAGAATAGAATATATAAAATCAGGTGATGCAGCTACTGTGTAAATCATGCATCAGATTTGGGACTTCTATTTAGTGAATGAAAGCTTTACTTGTTAAGTCAATTGAATTAAGAGATTTCCATCTTGAATATAGACTGCACAATTGGTCACTATAGCATAGGAAGGATCTAATTGTTTTAAAGAAGCAACAGCATAGAATGCTAAAGATCGTAGGTCTGAAAAATTTGCTGTGAGGAGTAGTTTAAAAAAATGTTGGGTTTTTGCTCATTAGTAAAATAAATTATCTAAAGGATTAATATGACTGATTCCAATGTCTGTATTAAAGGCTTCAAATAACTACCATTTTTGCATTATCTCCCATAAAAAGGGAAGTGAGCCCTTCATGCAAAGGGTAATAATATTCATTTGGAATGTGTTATGAGGGAAATGCAAAACCAAAGAGTAGAAATAAATTGAGGAAGCAGATTTCAGTGCCTGGAAGAGGACAAGCCTGGCAAAGTAGGAATATGGGATTACAGTACAAGTAAAAACTGTTTCATGAGATCTTACATTATCAGTTACCTCATTGATCTTCCTGTTGAGATCATAACCTTGGTATGTACTGTCTCTTGCTACGCAGATCTCTTAATAGTGCAGATTAGTATTTGCTGCTGTTGCAGCTGTATGGGTGTAATAACCATTTTAATCTGCTTTGTGCACTTTTCAGTGATCGGTGAACTGGCAGGTGTGAATAGGGAGATGGGGCAGGTTTCCGTGCACTGGAGCTTTAAGTAGGCAGATGGTGCTCTGCGCTTCATTGCCATCTTGTGGTCAGTTCTATTCTTTGAGTGCCTCCGTTTTTAGTAAACATGGCCTGCTTGGAGCTAATGTCGTCTGGTGCAGTTGGTGCTTTCCCTGCCAGGCCCTGCAGTCTGCAGACAATGGAACCTTCAGTATAAAGCCTTCATGGATATTCAGACAATTGCACTGCACAATTGACTGACCATTTCTAACAGCAGACTGCCATCATGACTGTTTCAGGGGAGCTTGGTGCTTTCGGAAAATGGATCTTTCAATGGTGGTTTTAGAAGCAGTGTTTCAGAAGATGGTAGATTTGAAATTTGACTCGATTTTCAATTTCAAGTCAGTAGCAACAAATATGAGGAATTAATGATGATGGCTAGGGCCAGGCATTACTGTGGGTAGCACTGTATTTATTTCCCCCCTCACAGCATAGTCAATGCACCTGAGTCCAAACCCACAGCTCTCCCTGATCTCTCTCAAACCAAGATTGCCAAACTTGTTT